ATAAAAAAAAAAAACATACCGTTCTTGTTATGGTGGGTGTCGCTTTAGTTCGAAATTCAATAGAGGAGGGAAGTCCTTTTTTTAGTCCTTTTGAACACCGAACACAAATAATAATGGACAACTGGGACGATCAATCAAAAATACTTTTCCACTGTCTGTCTCTGGAAAGGAAAGCTGTAAATTAAATACACATGTCTCTAAAATGTCACAGTTACCTTAATTGAAACGTCAAATACTGTCATTTGTTTTAAAGCAACTTGAAATCAAAAATTGAAAAAGCTTTGTCAACGTATGTAGGATGTGGTTAAAATGGACATGGTAAGAAAATTGAATGAAACAAAAAGTTTTGAACACTGCTCTTCCATAATATCCATGAATTCCTGCTTGTTATAAATGCAAGCCAACCTTGTAGTAGATCAACTGCTGATAATAATTAACGAGGTAGATTCTAGCTACGGTTCAAATCGTGAACAAAGAATGCTTAAAAGCGAATCAGAAGTGAGTTAGGGTGGTGAGGCGGTAACTATTCTAAAGGATACGTAAACAGTTAAGGTAATTAAAAAAATATATCAAGATTAAATGACATTATGTATGGATCAAGATAGAAACTATTGTGTTAATATGCTCTATCTGATGTGAAACGCGTCAGGTCAAGGTAGCTAAAGGCTAGATGCAACTTAATCTGTCCTCAAAATAATTTACTTTCCTTATTCTATGGTACATTAAAACTAAAATCCCTGTCATGTGTTTAATCATATTGTCCACCGTTATTAGGGTTAATCCTCTGTAAAGGAACCCTTTTAATCATAAAGTTGAAATTAAAGCCGCAGGCCATGATTCAACTACGATTTCATATTTAATAATTTCAAAGTTGACAAAATTTCTATTGGTAAACCAAAAAAAAAAAAAACGTTTACGTGCCTTACGGTCTTGATCTAAAATTTAAAGTAATATGCTCAAATACGTACAAAACGTAACAAACATTGAAACTTAAGCACGGGTTTGTTTGTATAGGATTCGAAGTTAATTTGTCAAGGGAATGCTGCCCTAACCCTCGAGTGTAAACACGTGATTTAGTTATCCTTCAGGAGAATAAAAGGAATGGGATGAAGAAAATTCTTATGTAATGTAGACTGCTTTAATCGCAGTATACAATAGTGTTGTATATCTACTTTAAAGAAAACCCTATTTTTTGTATATAGTATATCTCAATATAAATTAAATTTTTATTTTTATGTGGATACATTGTAGGTTTTTTGAAGTAAAACTTCTATATAGACGGGGTATTACGATTTTTTCTGTCACGAAAAAGCGTTACGGCCGTGTGGAGCGGGTAGATGGTATATCGCCAGGTGAGAGGCGGTAACGGTGAAGGAAAGGAAAGGCTCACGGTGGCGGAGAGAGCGCAACGACTGTATTGCGCAACCTCATGGAGAGCGGGCAGTCCTCTAGAGTCTCGGCGGCGTGTGCTGTGCTCAGCAGTTGTTCTTACCTCTGCTCTCCGCGTGGCTGGGCATCATTGCCTCTATTTGCTGTGTGTGTAAAAGCGAAATCCGTCAAATATTACCAATACTAACTTTTGCAAGGGATGAAATACTAACGCGACCATCCAAAAATTTTTACAAAATTATCTTTTATTTGTTCACTGGCTGATGACATTCCCGCTTCGCTAGAAATATATCTCCTTTGCGTTTCCCCATTTATGTTTTTTTCTTATCTATTATTTTTCAGAACAATAAATTTGTTATATGTCTTTTACGATAAGAAATAAATTTTCGGCTAGATAGAGGTTTTCCTCGTTCCTCTGAAAGTATTTACTTCTGTTAATCTTCGGTGGTTCGATCGTTCGATCAACAATCCCCGAGATTCCTCTTTCTTTTGAACAATATTCTATCAATCAGGCGTTATCGTTAATACATGTGTCCCATTTAGGCAGAACTGCTGCTGCATCCTGCTATTATGTGTCAAGAAGTGAAAATCTGTGCAAAAATGTTTGATAATCACATTGAAATCTGGCGAGCAACTTGAAAAAGGAAAAAGGGGAATAGGAGGGCATGCTCAATAGCAATTAATGAAAACTGCAAGGACGCAGAGACTATTGATTCCCATCCCTTTTGTGTACCCTGCGGGGTTGATTAAATGTACTCTCGTTTATTATTACATTCGTTTTATGTTCGTCGGAAGGAAGATGGAGTTCGGCAAGCGAGTATGTATGAAATATGTGTGTAAAATGAGAAACATCCCTAAAGTAAGAAGCAGTGTTATCTTACAGTTAAACTAAGCAATCTACATAAAAAAAAGATGCCACAAAATTTCTTTTGGTTTTATAGAAAGTGTAATGATTCCCTTGAGCTCTAAAAAGAGGGTGATGATTGATGACTTTTCTTTCTGGATTTCTCAGATACTCAACCGTCTTTTCTACTTAGTATCTACTTAATGGTTTGCCTAATTTGCTTATATTTAAAATGAGAAATAGTAATATCATTCAGAATCGGTTCACATTGGAAGTTTTATTGGTCATTTGGTTAAAGACTTAAGTTTATTGTCTTCAACTTCTGATGAAATATGGGTTCTATTTGTTGAGATACAGATGTAGATGTTACATTGTTCTGAATAAGAAGTGATGATTTCCTGTAGAACTTAAGTAGGTGAACTGATGCTGACCTGATTGGAGTTTAAAGGTCATCGTCAGTTGGAATTGCTTTGCACGTCCAGCATCGAAGATGAAAGTACCCGACTGGAAATTAATTAGTGGATTGGATCCGATGCGGATCAGAATTGCCTGAAGATTGATAAGAAATAAATCAGGCTTTCTGATCCGGGTATGATGGAAAATCGTCACGCCATATATGATCAACATAGGATCCATTTGAAAAATCCATGTCGGATCTGTTTTTATGATCCATGACGGATCCGTTTCGAAAATCTAATGCTAATTAGTCATAACATTACTAATAATTATTGTTAACTTAATTAACAATAAATTTGTTCATTGTTTGATGAACAATATTGCATACAGAATAAATAAGGTAAAAAATAAAGTAGAATATTCTAGAACGTTCCATCAGCCAATTTTCAGGAATTTTTCATTAGCTGCTAGAAACCTTAAGATGTGATACATTGCTGGAAAGCTCTTGAAGAGAGAAGAATCCGACGTCATTGAAGNGGATTAAGGGATAGGATACTCTACTATGATCAATTTCTGATCAGATGGTTGGATCAACAAATAGAGTACTGTGCGCTGATCAATTTCTGATCGGATGACCAGATCAAGGAATGGAGTACTGATCAGAAACTGATTAGATCGGTGGATTGACTGATAGAGTACTGTACTCCTATCAGATGCCCGTATTACGGAAAATCTGATCCGCATCTGATCATAATCCGGGTTCTCTGAACTAATTTCCAGTCGGGTACTTCTGAAGAAGCTCGCCACTCATATTAATGAAACGTTAAAAAGCAATCGTGGGCCCAGTTGATGTAGACTATTAATATACAAAGGGTGTGACTCTTAATAAAAAATAGTGAATAACCATTTAACAGCGTATATGATTAATTCAGTTCCACATAATCATTATCATACGGTCGTCAATTATAACACTCATTGGGCGCCCACTTTCAACTCAATCTTGAGCTAATTTTTGCATTTTCTTAATTATAAAACTAGAACATCCCACATCCCTACCTATTTCAGTAATCTAATCTGTCTTCTTCTTCTGTTCTGCTTTTTATACATCTCCATATACTCATGTCTTAGAAGATATCCTACCATCTGATCTCTCCTTTTTGTGAAAGACTTCCTCCTGCTCTAACGTATATTGAGCTTTAAATTTGAGGTAGTAATTTCTTCTAAACTTTATTTAAGAGATGATAAATTTCATGAATTTATGTTAATTGAAATCCTATCCTGAGCTAATTTTTGCGTTTTCTTAATAGTAAAAGTAGAACATCCCACATCCCTAACTATTTCAGTAACCTAATCTATGCCTTATTCTTTTGTTCCTCTTTATTTCTATTCTGCTTCTAATACATCTCCAGCTACTCATGTCTTAGAAGATATCCTACCATTCGATCTTACCTTTTTGTGGTAGACTTCCTCTTGCTCTAACGTATATTGAGCTTTAAATTTGAGGTAGTAATTTCTTCTAAACCTTATTTAAAAGATAAGAAATTTATGTTAATTGAAATCGAAAGACAATATTGATCTTTGAAGAAGTTGGAGCGGTTTCTTAAAAGATATAACGATTCCCCTCAGTTTTAGATTCCTGCTGAATTTCGATAAGAATATGAGCGTTTTAAAGCTACCTTTTTCTTCTAATCAAAAAATTGAAATCTTAAACTTTTAATGAAGAATGTCACTTGTTGTTATCTTTGAATGAAATATATAGGCTTCATTGAACTTTTAATTAAATGAAGTTAATTTTAGATGAATATTGTATTTGTATTGTAGGCACTAATAATGAATGTTTGAAGAACTAGTAAATCGTGTGTCAAATATTATAACTTAAAGCAGTAATTGCCATGACGAACAAGTAAATATAAAAAAAAATGTACGTACATGAGTAACTAGTGTATCCAACATTATCTTTCCTTTATGTATAAATTACGCTTCCCTTGAAATTTGAATGGGTCGCAATGATTGCTTTGCCCTTCGGATAAAGGACGAATTTTCATTGAGGTAAATGATATCTCTGGCCTTAAACAAGGCACAATATACTAATTAAATTAATAATACTTGATAATCTGATATGATTCCATAATTACACTAAATAGATTAAAATGTAAAAACAGTTGGTTTATTTCACAAAATATTTTATCTACCTTGGCCATATTGTTTCGGATAAAATGCAATTGTAATGAAATCGTATTTAAAGAAGACTTTTAAAGATCGTCATTATCAATGAATAAACAAGAACCACTTTATCTTACTGTAACACTTACGTATGTTAAAGGTATCGTGAATCAAGTGTACTAATGATACCATTGTGTTTTGGTTGCAGGTAAAAAGCTGCACGGGGCGTCATGGGGTGCTTCGGCAGCAAGGACAAATTGTCCAAGGAGGACATGGACTTCCTCAAATCGCACACGCGTTACGATGAAAGCACCATTAAAGAGTGGTACAAAGGCTTTAAGGTTAGTAGCTAATAATAGTCCAAAGTGTATAATATGATAATTATTTTGGGGAAATCCTGGTAGGAATTTAATTATGTGTAATGAGCCGATTAGTGTTCATTAATTAGATTGTCGGATCCATTGCCTATTAGTCGTAGTTCAGCGGATCTTACAGCTAGCTCCTGGTTTGCGCCAAATTACGAGGGTTGATCCCTTTGCACTACCCCTGACCCAATTATAAACAGAAATAATTATTTATTTTTACATCGCATCACATTATATGCAGACCAACCTTACAAAATTAAAAGTGTGAACCCGTTAAATCCTATCTACAGTAGACGATAAAGTTTGGGGCAGTCTTAGGGAGTGTGTCGAATAACCATCATTACTATGTTCAGACCATAATACAGAGTAAGGTATGGACCATCGGGGTTTACCATCACCGAAGAAATTCAAGATGAAACCATCAACAGAGACTGTGTAATTTTAGTAGATTTCCTGCTAAATAGGGGCACAATTATAGGTGCTTATTATGGCAATTTTATTATGTCAGGTAATAAAAGACAACGGTCGGAAAAATTATGCATTAGTGTTCTCTTGCAAGGGGGTGATAATGCATTCGGTCAAGCGTCTGCCATTGCCAAAGCTGCGGTAACTAAAGCAGGTTTAGAATTAGTTGATCATCTACCATATTCCCCAGATTTGACTCCTAGCGACTACCAACTGTTTCCAAAACTTAAAGAATCCTTACGTCGTAAACGATTTTTGTCAGATTAAGTGGTGATATGTGTGGTAAATTAGTGGTTTTCAGAATCCGAAGAGTCTTTTTTTGTCGGGAGGCATTAGAAATGCTAGAATATCTTAGTGAACACTATTAGAAAAAATAAATGTAAAATATTCGCAAATTTGTTATAAAGTAAGTAAATTGGTTAGGGGCAGAGCAAACAGATAAACCCTCGTATTTCGTGATGTTCTGGGCTTCTTCTCTCTCAAAGAAACATTCTAATGAGCTACATATAAATTTTACGTTTTGTAATATTTTCTCTTAAACATGACGTGCAACCTTTATATCAAATGGTAAACTGTGTCGCATTTTATAATGGCAGGAGTTTAAAAGCATCAAACTAATCGCGCATTATATTAATGACGCTTGTGTTACGACGTTAATTTAATTCGCTGGTGTTATCTGCATGTTGATTGTAACGCTTCGCATTTTTTTTCATTTCATTACACTGCACGGACCTGATATAGATGATTTACGAACATCGAATTATTAATTGCATTTTAACACGTTTTTACGAGGATGTCATGGCTAGTTTTTAAAAACACGTCATGCGAATCATTTTACCATCACTGGTGATGTTATACTTTCTATAGCGATTTGACCGTCGCAAAGTAGAAAAGAACAGCACTAGGCCAGAAGAGGAAGGAGACAACTCTCGGTCAAACTCTTAACCGGTGAGGAGCGTATAATCCGTACAATACTGCACGGAAAAATTGACCATTTTATCCACTACAATTGCATTGCTCAAATGTGGTGTTATTGGTACCAATTACTACTGAAAATATCAACGAGATATTTATTTATATTTGAAGACATATTAAAAGCTGTAACGCTTCTTTTCGACTCGCACTACTATTCATGATTGAACAAAAATTTTGGCAGGTACTGTATGCAAAAGTGTAATAAAATAATTCGAAGTGGTCTGTATTCTGTCGGAACTGCCAGACGCGGATCGCGATTTCGATCTTTTTGGATATCATCAGCGCGTCGCAGACAACTCCGACAGAACACAGACCAACTTTGTCTATCACATTGAGGTTAGCTACGCCGGGATTTCTTTCAGCATGTAGATATCCATATAGTTGAATGAACCTTGTTGGAGCATACGTAATCCTAAAATGTAGTATCGTACTACAGATGGCGTTTACCGCGCCATTTGTGGTATTTTCATGAAAAAGTATGTTTAATGAACAAGAGTCGAGAGTATAATGAGCTTTTTTGCCCTACCTACGATTTTGCCAGCACGCATCGAAGACATTGGAAGGGGCATTTCGCTAGAGAAAGTAATTGAACTATACCAGGTGTAGTTGAGACGAAATTGGCAAAGAGTCCGCAATAAATTATCTGTGAGAATGGACGTCATTTACTGCATTTTGAACACGCCCTTGTTAAGTTATGAAATGCTTCATAAATAGTAAAAGTCCGATGATGGCAACATGCTCAAATTCTGCTTGTCTGCATCTCTTTCTGTTGCACATTAATCAGTGTAATGTTATTCCTTTTTCTTTATTAGTGTCCGCTGCAATTTCAACCTGACATCTCTTTTCTATGTTTACGATATTCGCTACAGCGTCCGTCGTATGTCAGCTACCTCTCTAGTGTAGTTAATAGTTTTATTGCGGACTGTGCCAATTGTGAACGCCCTAAACATAGCAATAAATGTACCCGAGACTTTAAAAAAAAAAAAACCCTGGGGTACCCTAAATACTGAAAAGTCAAGAAACTTGACATCAGTAAACGTCACTGCCGATCTTTTGAACTATGTTCGGTAAATAATGCACCAAACTAAAATTGGTTACAGTACAGGTTATAGTCTAAAAGATAACAATGAAACACTAATAAAAATGAAAATAAATTTTGCTAATTTGGATAATATTTTTATTCGTTCAGTGCTGGTGATATTAGTTATTTTTAAAAAGGATTTAATTATGTGTAGTAATTAACCTCTTCTTTGGTACTGAAACGTCTATTTTTAGCTCGTCCTTTTTAGTTAAAATTGGTGAAAGTGAGTTGTTTGTAATTTTCAAAATTTGCGTGTTTCTAATAATAAATTACCTCCTGTGACGCAGTAAAAGGGTGCGTATAGGTCTAACGATGCTTTCTTGTTATTAATGCATGTCATTTTAAAATTACTGCTGTTCGCAATGAGTAACCAAACAAAGGAAAAGTGGCAATTGCTAATTAGGTAATATGTATTTCGTACGATGAGTTAGGTGTTATAAAATTAATTGAATACACTGTTTACTTATTACCCAATTTAGTTACTGAGATTCTGATAAAATAATTCGAAGTGGTCTGTATTCTGTCGAAACTGCCAGACGCGGATCGCGATTTCGATCTTTTTGGATCTCATCAGCGCGTCGCAGACAACTCCGACAGAACACAGACCAACTTTGTCTATCACATTGAGGTTAGCTACGCCGGGATTTCTTTCAGCATGTAGATATCCATATAGTTGAATGAACCTTGTTGGAGCATACGTAATCCTAAAATGTAGTATCGTACTACAGATGGCGTTTACCGCGCCATTTGTGGTATTTTCTGAGATTCTGATAATTTTTATTTAATGTTGAATAATTTTTACACCACATATAGACAATTAGTCTTATTTATAAATTAAAACTTTAATTTGGCATTCTTTAAATAAGGATACCCTTTTTAGAATCTGTATAGAACATTCTTGATTACTTTCAGAAACTTTGTTTTGCGGTGTATGATTTATGACCGGTGCCTGTTGGTGCTCATGTACATCAAACGTGGCACTGGTATCGATCGTCAGCGGCTTTCGTTTATAGTAGTACTAGTTAAAGTGTATTTTGCTGATTGTAACTCCAACGCATTCATCAACGAATGTGATTTATCAGCAGAGATATTGTGATTAATAACACTCTGTGACTAAGACCATCGTCAGGGCAAATTTACTATCTGTGCTACCGTAAGATTGCAGAAAATAAACCAGGTGCAATACATTATACCTGTACCGTACATACTTATACGCATGTACATATATTTTTGTTTAAGTATTCGCGCATTTTACCTCGGATTCGATTTATGTATGCACATCTGAGGTGTGTACATTTCAAGCTGAATTTAAACGCCGTAAATCATAGTTTTGGCACCTTTGGAGCCTCGTTCGCTCCTTTAGATGTGATTAACGGAATTATTAACAGTTGAGTGAACACCAACTGCAACCTGTGTCTGAAACAGGTAACTAATGTTGTGCTCTGGATTGTGTAAAGAACAAGACATGGGATTTGTATGAATGTGTTTGAAATATTTGTTTTGCTTTAAAAATCGAAATGTAAAAATTATTTTTAATTGTAATAGAAATTCAAAAATGATTCTGTGCCGTTAAAATTATAATTATATTACTACGAGGGTGCATTTTTAAGTTCGCGGAATGGGTAAGTAGGTCGTTACTGAGGGTACTTACCCGAGTAATTACGAATACCAAGTTTCACCGTAATTATGTCAGTAGTCTTTGAACTACCATCGACCAAACAAGTCAATCGGGAACAAATTGTGAAATATGGAGAAAATGCAGTACCCCGCTGTTATAAAGTTCCTTACCAAGCAAGGAAAATCAGTTCAAATCATACTACAAGAGATGTCATCCGTTTACGGGGACTCTTGCCCAGGTAAAACCATGGTTTACAAGTGGCATATGCTCTTCAAGCAAGGCAGGGACTCACTTGACGACGACCCACAGCCAGGCCGGCCGATCTAGGTCACCACTCCGGAAAAAAGTCGAAAAATTAATACTGGATGATGCCCTACTTAAGAAGAAACAACTCGCAGAAATGGTGGGAGTATCAAATACAACCATTTTTAAAAATTTTCACGATCATTTTGGAATGATTAAAGTCAGCGCAAGATGAGTACCGAGAATGTTAAAAAAACAACAGCTTCTGAAGTGTTCTCGCGCGGTTTTGGACCTCTGTAGTGAAGATAAAGATGGAGTGTTGACTCGAATTGTTACTGGGGACGAAACTTGGGTTCATCATTATGAACCTGAGTCCAAACAGGACAGTGACAGTGACACAAAAAAAAGGCACACTACCACCCAAGAAGTTTAAGGTGTCACAATGGGCTGGGAACTCATGGCGATAGTCTGTTGGGATTCAAAAGGTGTTCTGTTGATCAATTATAAAGATAAAGGTGTCTCCATTGCCGGAGAATATTGTGCTTCAAACCTAAAGCGGTTAAAGGAAGCAGCCGAAGAAGAAAGAAGAGGAAA